CATTGATCTGTTGACCACCACTCTCCCTAACCCTAACCCTTGTCACCTGAACAGATTTGCATCCTACAGAATAGCTTTCAGCTGTGAGACTGTTAAAGTTAACTGTCGAGAAATCTGGTCTTGAAAGGCACAGTAGCATTTCAGTAGACAGTAATTCAGGAGGGAATCTGGGGCCAAATACGGACTTTTAGGGATATATTTGGAATGTAAACTGTGATTTCTCCTTGCAGTTTCTTTCATTGAGACCCATATACATCTTAGTCCGTGTCATTTTCTCAGGGAGTTGATGGATGATTTTGAAGGCATGATACAGAGAAAGAGCATGCATAAATGGCAACAGGCACTTGTCTTTTCCCTCCCCAGCTATATTTGCAGCCTCTGGTGTAAATGTTTGTTGCTCACATGATTTCTGTTATGCTTCTAGGGCTCGAGTCCTGGCTGTCGGGTTCCGTTCATCAGCCTACCAACACAGCATGAGCAGGAGGCAGTTCCTGATGGTTTCCAGGTAGAGTGTGTGTTGAAAGAACAGTTGAATGAAATGGGTAGTGGTCTGAAAACACCATTGGTATTAGTAGTTAAAACCCCTTGTTACCAGGTAATTGTACACCATTAGTACTGTTCTGTTGGAGTTGAAATGTCTAGAATCTGAAGAAATTTAAAGAAATAAATTCAGAAGAGGTGCTTAAATTTATGTGGGTGCCATTCTCTAAAAAAGTAAAGCAAAGCTGGAGGGCAAACAATCAAAGATCTCAGCATTTGGCAGTCCTGCTGCTTGCATGTTGCTAAAAGAGGGCTATTAAGGCTAAAAGCATGATTGTAATGCCAGCATCCTCTTCAGAGAATCACTTTCATTCGTGCTGGATCCCATAAGACACAGATAAAACTTAGGTGCTGCCACAGTTGCTTTCTAAGTAATAGTGGTGTTATCTTCCCCAGTTTCCTCCTGCGCTGAGATCCAGGACCTTGTGTTAGAAACTTAAGACTCAGAATTCAGACTTTGCTTTTCCTCAGTGGAAGCACTTTGCACTCTTGCTGTGACAGATAAATTAATTTGACATTTTTGCATGTGATTGGAGAACAGAAAGGAGGGGAAGTTTGTGGTGGTGCTTTGGTTTTTTTTATTAATAGCACAGCTGATAATGAACATGGTAGGTGCGCATTTGTGGTAGTGGGGCCTTAGGTTCTGGTTCTTGCTCTCAGGACAGCTTTGTATATACTGCATCAGATAAAAAATCACACACAGCTCTATGAGGTACTAATAACAAGACTCCATAAAAAAGATCATATGTATTTTGGGAAGCCTGGCTATAGAGGAGTGAATTAGCAGTGTAAAATATTTGTATACTCTTCAAGCAGTTACAGATTTTTTTTGCCTATACAAAGGCAAATTAATACTTACGAGCTATCTTGTAGGTTCATCAAAATTAGGTTAATTTTAATTATTATGCTTGTTTCTGTTATGTAGGCTTTATTAAATATTGTTTGGAATGCTACAGAAATTTTTTCAGATGATTTGCTAGGCTATGGGCCGATGCCTATTTGTTTGCGCTTACGGATATTTGTCATGAAAGTAATACAAAAAATCTGATTTTAATCTGATGATTAGGAGCTAAGCTGTTGATTTTCAGACAGATATCCAAGTCTTTCATAAATTCATGAACAACTAACTCTGTTTCTGTAACAGGGCGCATCAGTCCTTTCTCTGTCAGAACTGTCCAAGACTCCCCTCCAGAATGGTCTTTCCACCCCCCCACTTCCTTCATCAGAGGCTTCCAGTACCCGGCTCTCTCCTCCCAATGTTTCTGCTCTCTTGGATATTTCGCTGCCTGGACCACCTGAAGATGTGCTTTCTCAAGGAGAACCTGCCACTCAAATCAGTGATTCTATCATTGAAATAGCTATCAGCTCTGGTCAATACAGTAAGTCTGACCTTAACTAAAGTCTTCGTATTAACGTAAAAAAAACCCCTGTTATCTTACACGTTAGCAAAGGTTTTCCAGGAAATAGTTCTTGGTTGTTTGGGGGTTTTGTTTGTTTGATTTCTTTATTTTCTAGCATATGTAAGTGGGTATTTCTTGATTTGTCTCCCCCCACCCATCCATAAATTGGTGCAGTGTCCTGTAACTTTACCACATTGACTGAATCAGTGATTCCTGACATTGGCTTACAGGTGAAGGTGTTTCTCTCTCTCCTGCAAAGCTGAATGGCAGTGACAGCTCCAAAAGTCTTCCGTCCCCATCCAGTAGTCCTCAGCAGAACTGGATTGCCTCTCCCAGCCATGATCCCCAGTGGTACCCCAATGACTCCACAGACTCGTCTCTCAGCAGCTTGTTTTGTAAGTGTCTGTATGCAAAGAACTACAATAAAAAACCTCTCTTCTTTAAAAAAATAAAAAACCCCACCAACAAAAACCACAACTGTTTATTAGAAGTGAATCTTTTGGAAAATTGTAGGCCTAGTAGGACACTTGTAGAATTATTCCCTTACTTCTTGCGTTTGTTTCAACACTGTTGGCTTGAATTCGTTTTCTTTCTCATATTTACAAGTCTGTTCCTGAAAAGATCCTGTTGCTGGATTGGGGCCCATACCTTGGGACAAATAATTCCTTGGCAGTTATTTGTAGTCTGTTTGGAGCCTGCCTCATGAGTTTGGTTGAGACGTTTGGCTGTTGCACCAAAATGAAAAGATGACCTTGGCTCTGCTGTTGGCCGAATAGGCTTTGTTCTGTGCTTGGTGAGCGTAATCTCAAAGACGTGAGATCACTGGTTCTGTTTAAGGTTTGGTTGGCGGGTTTTTTAATTAATGTTTAACGGGGCCAGCATAATGAGTCTTTATACTCTTAGCAGTGTGCTGATGGTGTTTATGGTGATCACACGTAATTGTTTAGGGATGGAAGAAATAGATAGGTCCTCCGTTTTCTATTTCTTTGTCCTTCTCTTTATCCTCCCAGTTGCAAACATTCAGTGCAGTGACTTACTGATGTGCTTGTTCTTTATAGCAAGTTTCATCTCCCCCGAGAAAGGACGAAAAATGTTACCAACTCCTGTTGGGACTGCCAGTGGCACCTCCTTACTGGGACCCAGCCTTCTGGATGGAAACTCACGGGACTCTTTTGTGTCGCGGTCTCTGGCAGATGTAGCAGAGGTATGTCATCAAACTACATTCAGCTTTCTGCTTCCTTTTTCAGTGCAGTGTTACTGTATGTTCTCCATCATACATTCCTGAGATACTTAAGGCAAAGATGCTTTGACATCTGCACTTTAGCTTAGTAAAACAGGGTTCCAGTCTGAGAGGACAGATGTAAAATGACTTGAGGTTATACTGCACCGGAACTCGTGCAAGGAGCTGTTGTGAGCACCTTACCTTTGGCCCAGATTCTTTTTGCTGGGGGAGGTCACGTCTGCCTTGTTGGACAAAGAGAGTTGTAATCCTACTGTTTTGTGTGTCCTATTTTAGAGCAAGAATTGAAAATACTAAATATGAGAGGAAGGCTAATAGTGATGCAGCTACACTACAGTTGGAGGGACTGGTAGAAGAAATAAGTAGGTCCAGGAGGAAGAAGCAGGAAATGGCTAATACTGTTACCCGAGAGAGTGGCAGAAGGTTCTGTGCTGCTGAGTTACTTTCTTTGCTGGTAGAATTATCCTTCTGTTTTGAAATCTTTTGAAGACCTACAGTGAAGAACAGGAGTCAAGGCTTTAATACACTTGAGGGCAGAGTTCCCTTTCAGAGTGACCACTCAGCCTGGAGGAATGAGCTGCCATGAACATCACAGAATTCAGCAAGGACAAATTCAAAGGACTGCCCCTGGGAAAGAATAACCCCGACAGAAATATAGGCTGGAGCCTGGCTGTTTAGGGAACAGCTGTACTGAGAAGTACTTGGGCATCTAGACAGACAGCAAGCTGAACCTGAGCCAGGATGTTCTGTGGCACCTGAGACAACTAACAATGTCATGGGCACTGAGGAGCATAGCCAGTTGATTGAACAAAGTAATGATTACCTCAGTCTCCTCAAAGATGTGAGACCATGTCTAGAATACTGTGACCAGTTTTGAGCACCGAATACAGAGGAATCATAGAATCCCAGACTGGTTTGGGTAGGGAGGCACCTTAAAGGACACCCCTCTGCCATGGGCAGGGAC